CTATTTCAAGCGGTAGTTTCACCTTTTAAAGGAGAAACTGGAAGCACTCAAAGTAGCCGTTGTATGTCCAACGGTCATGCAACAGTGCTCATGCCAGAAAAATACTCTCCAATTCACATTTTCGACCTACTGCAACTTTCTTATGTCATTGTATCAGTCAACCTAAGGGTATTAAGGGAACTAAAATACTCTCCCTCCTCCAAAATGCATTTTTTATTGTTACTTTTGCTTAGAGGGGCTGACATTGTTAAGAAAATGTCAATTCAAAGGGTGGTAAGAGAGATTTCCAAAATGTGGGGGGAGCTTAGTGATATTTCAAGAAACCTCAGGGGAGGTTTCTGATATTATCCCAACCATTAATTGATAATGCATTCAGTCTTTCCGTCATAGAGTTTTGTTTTAAAAGCGCAATCTGTCCTGATGACCTACCAATTCTTTTGACTGCTCATGGTTATGAAAATTTTTTTAACTAATTACAATGTATTTATTTTTAACTAAAGACTAGCGTATGTGAAAATAATTTATAGGTAAGTTGTTTTGAAGGCTTGTAATATAGCTAACCATACTATGTGGAAGTATTCATGTTTGAAAGGAAGAAGAAAAATCGCAAATATACACTACACATAGACCATAAGAAAAAAACTCAACATATACATAAGTGAATAGTAAGTAAAGAAACAAGCATGGATTGTTACCCATATCAATCAAGACGAAATTAGCAATTAAAACCTGCTAAAATCCTTGTCCTTGTTTATACTTTGCATACAACAACACCACTACTGTAATCAAAATATGTGTGATACTTCTACTTATTGCCTGAATTCTCACCATCAATTTGGAGAGAGGTCATATTGACATAACCACCAGCACAACCATTTTGCCATGCTAAGTCGGACAAATCAGTACCACCAATAGCATACTTCGAAACATCCTCCATATTCAAATCAGAGGGGATCATGGTACCCCTTGATAAATGGAACGGTTCCATACTCAAATTAGAGGGCATCATGGTACCCTTTGATAAATGGAACGGTTCAGTGAACTCTTGAGTAATTGCTTCGAGCCCACCATGAGAATTAGTGTATCCTTGGAAATCTTGAAATGGATGATCAGGAAATTGGAAACTAGAAAGATCATAGATAACCTGGTTTGAAATGGCATCACCTCCTGTGTCTAGAGTGCTGGTAATATACTCCATACATTGATTGTTTGTAGAACCAGCAGAGGAAATATTGCCAACCGCCAAATCATTGTCCTCATTCTGCATGGGAGCTTCATTCACTGTAAAACACTGGTCAAGATTTTCCCTCATCAATTCTACTGTGTCACCTTCACTTTCATCTTTGTTTTTGCGTCTTATGTTCATATACAATCTACATAAAACTGGATCCGACTGTCAAAAATGAACAACATGTTAGTAATGTATAATGGAGTTTGTAAATGAAAAAAGCCATGCAAATGGACATCCTATATTATTTGAGAAGTGGTTACTGAGCACTTAGTATAATATTGTTGTAAAGACTTGTAGATTAAGAAGTGGACACCACTCTTTTACATAATAGTGTATGTATGTACTATACTGACAGAAATCAAGAAGTAAATTGTTCTTGACTTAGGTGGCTAGAGCTCGGTTGTCAAAGAGTTTTAATCGATTATAACTTCCCGAAAATTATAAAAAAAAAAAAAAAAAATTGTTTCCTCTTGAAAACTTATTCTTATGCTATGAAGATTTCTACCTTCTAATGATTATATCTGTTGGACTCAAGCATGAAAACTGGGAGCGCAGGGAGAGGAAATCTCCTCCCATGTTCTACATATTCATATTTTTTTTGAAAAATTTTCTATGCATATTGAGCTATTGACGCCCCCTAAAAATTTCTGAATAATTTTATGTTGGTTCTGAAATTTACATGTGCATGCATGTTACATCTTCAAATCAAAAAAAAAAAATTTTTTTTTTTATCCTGTCGTTGATTGGGCTACATATATGTCTAGCTACCTATGCACACTATGTGTATAAACATCCAAAAATGTGTCTATATATCCAAACTAAGACATGCATAGATAACACATAAAAGACATTAAAATGTTTCATGAAATAATCAGATGAGAAGGAGAAGAGAAGAAGTGAGAATAAGCATAGCATGAATTGTTATTCTTATTACTGTCCATTGAAAAGATTATAAGAATACCTTGAAGCATAATAATATATAAAGCAAGTTAATCAGAAAATAAGTACTGACTTGTACCTTGGGGTTATTTGCATGAATTCTATATTCATGCATCTTCCAAGCCGTTTTTTCACCAGGCCCAAGTAAGAAATCTAGTGACTTCCTGTATCCGACGGTATTGCCATTGTAATAAATCTTCTTGTCTTTGCCGGTGGGTTTCCAAAATCCACCATCTCCACATGATCGAGAGGGACGGCTGCCTTTGGGGTATTTGTTCGTCAAATAGGTGAAGAAGTACCATCCGTTCACGTTATGAATGCTATCCGATATGTATCTATCTGCGCATATATAACCAAAAAAGAAAGAATCAAATATATAGCGTAGTTATGCAATATTACAACAAAATAAAGAAAAAGGGGATCGTAATTTATTTATCAAGGCTGCTTTTATTCAAATTTTGTTAGGAACAAAAACCCATTTTTTAGACAGACAAGAATGTTAGTTATTAAATTAGATACATAGCCCATACCCTAAACTAATCACTTTTACGTACGTGCATCAATGAGAAACCCTCTAACCCCAAATCTCATCTCTATGATGATGGTGTTCTCGTGATCTACCGTCACTGAAATTAATGTTCAAAAAATTTCAAAGATTTAGCCTAATTAATTGGGGATTATGGAATTAAAAGGGGTTCAATTATGCTCTATCGTTAAACAGCAAATTAACACTTGTACATAGCATATTCGTTAGAAGAACATCAGACCATGTCAAACACTTTCCTTCGCATGGAGTAAAGTTCCCGGTTACAAACTAGAAAACACCTAACAGATGTTTTCCGAGTTCTTTATCCGAAAACTAGAAAAACAACTGTTAAGAAGTCACGAGCGAGAATAACATAAAGTTTTTTCAATTGTATAGATACTAACTTGTAAGTTCTTGAGGATTGTGGCCGTAGACATTGGCTTCATGAATTCTGTTAAGTGGTAATGGAGCCTTGGCGATCCTTTTCCTCAAGTAGTGTACAATTAGCTCTTCATCAGTGGGGCAAAACCTGTAACCGCGAGGCATAGAATCCAGAAAATTCTGTGAATTTTCGTGGAGAATTATGCCTTGCTGAACCGGTTGCTGCTGATCATTGAGGAGATACAGCTGGTGTTGATGTTGCAGTGGCTGCTGCTGTTGGCCCTGCAAGGGCGGCCAGTGGTGGTGGAGGAGGTGATCATGGAGGAGGTATGGCTGCTCCTCCCTCTGCTGCTGGTGATTATCCATGCTTGTTGAATGTTGAAGAGGCTTCTTTTGCCGGGGGCGCAGTTACCTAAAATAAGCGCCAAATAAGGTATATATATTTTTTTGTCGTTGAGTTGCCAACCTGGCACTAAATGTCCGGTACATCCGTACAAGTGGGGTCGGGTATAGACTTAGTTACGTAAACTTACTCCAGTTGCAGTACAATTCTACCGCAACGGGTCTTCTGTGTCACACCTTGGGCCATTCTCTGTCCTATTTTTTATTATATTGCGATTTCTCATTCATAAACATCATGTTTTACTTCTTTTTTGTTTCTTTAAAATCCAATAACTATTAATTCAGTAAAAAATAAATACAACAGTTTAAAAAAAGCAATATATAATAGAAAATTAAAAAATACAGTAGAAAATTTAGAAAAAAATCTCATTTTTTATGCATTTTGATTTTTTGAGTTTGTTAAATTTTGTGTATTACTGAATTAATAGTTATTGGATCTTAAGGAAATAAAAAAGGAACTAAAACATGATGTTTATGAATGAGAAATCGCAATATAATAAAAAGTGGCACAGAAAGTGGCACAGGTTATGGGACAGAAGATCTGTTGCACAATTCTACTTCTTCTTCTACTTCTACCCGAATTATACTCAATTATTTTGAAATTTTGGATAACAATAAGAACATTCTTCCATGCCGCTTGTCTATATATCATAATTTTTATAATTTAATACCTAAGGTAATAAAGTTTTAATAAATTTATAATCTAAGACAAAAGAATAAGAGTTAAAGTTGTCTTAATGTAGCATAATCTTTGATAATTATAGTAATTTAATCCATATTTTTCGTTCCATAACTTTTGAATATTGTTAGTCCACATATGGATTTATGAATTAATCTTCTATATATTGACACTTTCACTATTGGATGCGTGATACACAATCTGAATTTAAATTAACCCAAATTTTATGTATGTGTCATGTATCCAACCGTGATAATGTACACATTGTTAGTGTATATTAGATTAACTCTAGATTTATACATATTTTTTGTCTAACTTATGTTTTTTAGTTAAACTTTAATCATATGGGTCCATGTCTGTATTGCATCCATCCCGTATAGGTCCATACCCGTATTATATCCATCCCATATTTTACTAACTATGCTCATCACTTTATTGTTGAAACTTAACATCACACTTGTGAAGCTTACCCATAATATTCATGAAAATAATTTTAAGTTTTTTATGGACAAATAGTATGTAAATGGCTAAAACTATAATTTTATAATAATCTTCAATTTACATACCATAATCGAGTGTATATTGCTTCTTGTTTTGAAATTTGCACTAAATTCACTATTCCTATTATTATTATTGGTAAAAATGCTTCGATTTAAAGCACAATAAAATCAAATTTTGTGGCCTTCGTGTGCGATGGAGCTCGCCCAAATGGGAAAAGAACGATAGAGGCTCTTGATCTTGGAGAAAATCTTCTTTCGGGTGAAATTCCTGATTGTTGGATGAATTGGGCAATTCTAGGCTTCATTAGTTTGTCAAACAACAATCTGAGTGGAAGTATCCCAATGTCCATCGGATATTTAAGTACTCTGCTCTCTTTGCACTTGCGCAACAACAATCTCTCTGGTGACATACCTTCTTCCCTGGAGAATTGTACGGAACTAATTACAATTGACGTTGCAGGAAACAAATTAGGGGGGAAGTTACCAACTTGGCTGGGTCCAAGTCTTTCCAAATTGAGGATTCTCATCCTGCGCTCTAACAAGTTTAATGGTGAAATTCCCCCTGAACTATGCCACCTGTCTTCCCTGCGAGCCTTAGATGTTTCCAACAACTATTTTGTGGGTGTGATCCCGAGTTGTTTCAAGAACTTTACCTCCATGGCAACAGAAGAGAGCGTTTACTTGCGCAATAATGAGACAACTTACTTCTATTCTGGTTACCCAGAGAGTGTACAATTGGCAATTAAAGGAAATGTATACGAATATAACTGGATTCTTGGACTTTTCTGCAGCATTGACCTCTCAAACAACAATTTTTCTGGCAAGATCCCTCTTGAACTAACCAATCTTTTGGGGTTGAAATCTTTGAATCTGTCCGGCAATCAACTGGGAGGAACGATTTCAAGCAACATCGGCCAAATGGGACGGCTAGAATCTCTTGATCTATCAAGAAATCATCTCTCAGGGACAATTCCTTCTAGCATTTCAAAACTATCCTCCTTGGGTTTCTTGAATTTGTCTTTCAATAACTTGTCAGGGAAAATTCCGTCAAGCACACAAATGCTAAGTTTTGATGCTTCTTCCTTTGCTGGTAACCAACTTTGCGGCCGCCCCCTGACAGTGCATTGTGGCAGCAGCAGCACTGATGGTGTGACTGTAATCCAAGAAGAAAGTGTCGAAACTGCTGTGGATTATTGGCTTTATATCTGCATTGGTGTGGGGTTTGTCATCGGCTTTTGGGCTGTTTCTTTTACTCTAATACTGGAGAAGACATGGAGATACGCCTATTTCCGCTCTGTGGATGAAGCTTGGTACAGGTTACAGGAACACTTTCTCTCTATTAGATTCATGTTAAAATAGCAAACAACTGTCTTGTGACCTGCATCATGATGTAAACGAGTTGTTCCGCTATTTATATATTTTCTCATACCCAATTTACAGATTGATTACCCCTCTCCAGTAATAAAAATGTTTCTTAACCAATCTTTTGGGCTCGAAACCTTTGAATTTATCCAGCAATCAATCGAACGGAATGATTCCGAGCAACATCTGCCAAATGGGACAAGTGGAATCAAGAAATCATCTTTTTGGGCCAATTCCTTCTAGTATTTTTCAAAACCATCCTCCTTGAGTTTCTTGAATTTGTCTTACAATAACTTGTCAGGCGAAATTCCATCAAGCACCAAAATGCAAAGTTTCAGTGCTTCTAGCTTTGCTGGTAACCAACATTGCAGCCACCCCCGATCCAGAACTGTAGTAGCAGCAGTAATAATGGTGTTACAATAATCAAGGAAGAAAGTGCTGGAGCTGTGGTGGATTATGGGCTTTATATTTCCACCGGTGTGGGGTTTGTGGTCGGCTTATGGGGTTTGATGAATAAGATCAGAACTGAAGAATACATTAGACTTAATGCGAAGTGGATAAAATGGAAAGTAAATGTTAATGAGAACCCACAAGTGATGATTAGAGTCAATGTCTCCTGCTACGATACTTTTGATTTGAGTGGCAATACCTTTGAAGTCCCAGTCCTAAAGGTCTCTTGGAACTTGACTTGGATTTGTTATTAAACAGCTTAAAGGATGCATTACCCTAGAGAGCTGTAGCACCCAATCTTTCCGATTCGGGGGTTTGATATAAATTTAATTAGTCTTGTTTGAATTAAATTAAATTATGAAAGTCTATGTTTTGGACTAATGAATTGGGCTAGTATTAAATGGACTGTTAAATCAAATTAAATTTATAATGTTCATGTAAATGTAAGCGGACTAATTGATTTATTAGTTCACAATGCACTATCTAAACCTACCTGTTACTAGAGCTCAAGCTAAATGGATCTTTAGACTTGCAAGTCACCCAAATGCAAGAAGGTTCCGAAGAATTTTCTTGAAGACCAGACACATTGAAATTCTAAATTTCAGAAAAACTCTATCATGAGTTGAAGTCAAGTTTGTAGTCGTAGGTGTTACTAATTCATCACGCTAAACTGTTATTGTTACTCTTACAGTTCCCAGCAGTATACATGTTTTCTCTATCAGATAATGACATTGATTTACTCCTTGTTTACAGCAAAAATTTGAAGCTTCAGTCACTTTTCAGAAGAAGTTGACAGAAAGCCGGGACAGGGGCCAAATATAACATTTACATGCGACCAAGACCTGTACATTGGTCCATTCAATCGAAATGTTATAAGCTGAAGGCAACTATACGGCTCATATCCATCAAGAAACATGAGAAAACACACAAGTATTAAGTTGCAGGCTTTCTTTCCCAGAAAAGCCATTAACCTGCAGACAAAGCAGGAATTCATGCGATCTTATTGTCTTTATGGTAATCTTTGCATTTTTTATTTTCATTTTTATTTTTCCTGTCACCTCTCTAAGACCTTAACAACAGGTAGGTTACTTGTCAAGCACCAGAGAGTGAGGGAAACTTAAACAGATTATTCAGGAGGACTAAAGACAAATTTTATTTTAACAGTAAATAAAGAAAGATTCAAGGGACAAACAGCTACTGAAAAGATCAAACCACACTCAAATTTGGAAATGGACCAAAAAGGGTGTTACTAGCATTTGAGATGAGATGAATACACGGATACTCACTTATTCTGAATCTTTTGAACCTGCAGTATGCCATCGAGGTAAGTTTCTTTTATTTGAGCTATCTTGGCTCTGTCCTTTTCTCCACAATCTACACTCAACTGCGGGCAATTGTCAATCTTCAGTTCCTCTAATTCAGTGAGGCGATGCATTCCTGCAGGCAGGGACCTTAGCCTGGGACATTCCGCAATTTGAATGCTTTCCAGTGCCGTAAGATTCTTCAGCCACTCAGGTAACTCCAGAAAGTTGGGACATCTCGCAATCCTCAGGTTTCTCAAGGTAAGAGCACTACCCTCAAGCCACCGAGGCAAAACAACCAACTTTGGTAGTCCGTCAATAACAAATGACTTGAGGTTCTCGAAGCATTGAACATCTTTGGAACTCAATTCTGGTAGTCCTCCAATAACAAGTGATCGCACCATCTTAATCCCTTCTATATCTTGCCATTCAAACAAAGTGAGCTCGTCACAATCAGTAATGTAAAGGTTTTCCAGAGCAGTGAGGTACTTCATGCTACTTGGAAGGAAGGTCAATTTTGGGCAATCGACTATAGTCAGTGTTCGAAGGTTCCTAAGATGTTTTAGTTCATCAGATAAGGAAACCAGATTCTTACAGCTATATAGGGATAATGACCGAAGAGAGGACATGCATCCAACACTTTTATCTGGAAAAGATTCTTGTTTGGTGGTTAGATATAAATGCCTCAGGCTGATCAAGTCTTCTGCATCTTTGGGTAACTCCGTTAGTTGTGTACAAAGAGCTGCTCGTAATATGAGCAAGCAATGTAACTTGCCAATGGAATTTGGTACAGTTTGAATACTGCAATTTGAACTAAGATCAAAATACTTCAAACCGCTTCAACTCGCCAATGGAACTTGGCAACATCTCAAAAGATGAGTGACTTAAATCTAGTGTTCGCAGATGCATGAATCTTGAAACACAGTTATCAACAAAAGATGTACTAGTTGGCCCCACTTCATCAACCGGAAAAAAGATGGTCCTCAGACCATGATTTTGAAGTAGGGAAGTTGGTAACTGCTTCCCCGACTCATCATAATCAGAGAATGCTACATGTTTCACCTCTTCTGAAATGTTCTGTGTATGGGCATAAACAGTTGAACACTCAGACCCTGCCACTGACAGCAGAAAATCATGCACAGTGTCATTCATTTTGCACATTGAGCTGAAAAACAGGCCATTTTCCTCGATATCCTGAAAGAAAGATTTGAAGGACAACTGATTAAAATACTCCAAACCTATCTCTTCAGGTTCTTCAAAATGAGTAGACGTGTGAATAAGCCCTTGAGATATCCATAGCTGAATCAGTTTATCTATCTCAATCTCACAACCCTTCGGAAATATTGAGCAATAGGCAAGACAAGCTTTTAGATAGGATGGCAACTTTTCATAGCTCAATTTCAATACTGGAAACATTTTGCCATTCTCTTGCGAGTCCCATACAGAATGATCTCTGATGTCCGTCCACTCAATTTCTCTAATTCTCCCACGCAATGAACTCCCTAAAAGAATCACACCCAAGGGAACTCCTTCACACTTCTGCACTATATCAGCCCCAATCCTCACAAGATTTGGATACTTTTCCTCTTGTCCTTCTTCAAAAGCCATTTTCAAGAACAATGACAAACAATCATCATTTGCCAGCCTTTCTACACAATAAATGGGCATTGTCCCAATTGCTGATGCAACTGATTCATCACGAGTCGTCAGAACAATCTTACTTCCCTTAGCACCAGCCACCAGAAAATCCTTCAATTGATTCCACTTCCCTTCATACTCGTTCCACACACCATCCAGAACAAGCAAATAAACCTTTTTGCGCAGAATGTCCCCAACCTTCTCGTAATTCCTAAATGGCATTCTTTTGTTTGCTGTAGCAGATTGAATAATTCTCTCAACCACTTTCCTCACACTAAAGCAAGGTGAAAGGTTTACCCAAATCCTCAGCTGAAAATGCTTTACTACCCTCTCATCGTTGTACACCAATTTCACAAGAGTACTTTTTCCTATCCCACCTACTCCAACAATTGGCAAAATGGAAAGAATCCCTTCATTGCTCCATTCGAGCAGAGCTTCCACAATCCTGTCTTTGTCATTCTGTCTAATATCCCTATCCGGCAATATAAATTTTCTACGTTTTTTAACTATTTCTGACGAGTAAGCTGCATCACTTGCACCCACACTTCCACACATTTGGGACCGAGCATATAGGGGCGACTGGAAGAAGTATGCTGGACCACTTGCACCCACACTTCCATCCACACTTGATGCCACCGATGAATGAAGAGAAGCACCGCCACCACAAGGACGAGATACAGAAACAAACCCACCATATAGGAGCGACTCTGACAAGTAAGCTGCACCACTTGCACCCACACTTCCACACACACTTGATGCCACCGATGAATCAAAAGCAGCACCACCACCACTAGGAGGAGATAAAGAAACAAGATGGAACCCACCATATAGGGGGTCGCCAGCATTTCTGGGCTTACCATACATATCAATTTTGTGCAATCTATTTCCTAACCTTTGCATTTCATATCCCATTTTAACTCGAAACGCGAAAGAACGTATCTTATAGAAGATATGCCTGACCTGAAGAAGTTTTCTATGATGATTTTGCTGTTGCTGGGATTTCAAGGTGTAGAATCCGCACTCGTCAAAGATATCTTCGGCATCGTACAAAATGTCTCTCAGCATCTTTGCTGCTTTGTCGTTGTCTTCTCCGAAGCATTTGCTCCTTATGGTCACGACGGATTCTTGAAGCTTCTTCAGCTCATCATCCAAATTCCATTTCAGTGCGATGTCACGAACCGAAGATGATGAGAATTTGTCCTGAAATATGTCTGAAAGAGCAACTATATCCATGTTATTGGATGATGGAGAGGGTTGGAGACTTGGAACAGATATACTTTGCGAGTAAAAGCAGATGAATTATGAAAGGCGATAAGGTGAGATCTTATAGAAGGTTAGGAAGAGGAAGCGGAGAAGAAGATGATTGCTTCAGGGGTTGAATTGAGAAGACTTTGAGTAAAAAGCTTTTCCTTTTTTTTTTCTTTTTCCTTTTTGGAGATTTGACTGGAAATTTTTTATTTTTTTATTTGACTTAAACGAACTTTTTCTTACAAAGGGGAAGGCGAACGGTGGAGTCAACGATGTACCCTAGTAGATACACATTTTTATTTGTTTCCTAGCAAGGGGTGTAAAAGAAATTAAAATTTGTTTTCCTAAAACAAGAAAGTGAAAATTTGTTTAATTACTCCCTCGTCCCATTCATTTGGTTATATTTGGGGAATCCAACTTTTTAAGTAGTGATTTGATTGTGATGTTTGTGTTTCTCTTTTCAATTTTACCCCTCAAATTCAAATTTTAAATTTGAATGTATGATTAAAAAGAAGGGTTATATTGGAAAGAGAGTGTAAAAGTAGCTTTGACTTTTCTAACATGACAATTGTTTTTGGACATCTTAAAATGGAAAGCATAACCAAATGAATGGGATGGAAGGAGTATTTTTAATAGCTTGAAATTGTGTTTAAAACATCAAGTCAAACTAAAGTCTGACGGGGTAAATATTCCAAACTGTTTGCATACAAATTCTGATCATTTCAGAAACCTCCTTTAAGATTTTTGATAATTATGCTTAAATACTCTCTAATATTAAAAATTACACTCCCCTCCCCTTGAATGACTTATTTGATAACTATTTTAGTGTCTGTCAGTAAAAGCTTTCTTAAAATTTGATACATAATTTTGTACCAAATTTGCTCTCACTGTAAGTAGGAGGAAACATGTACCACTTTTTTATGAAATTAACAAAAGAAAAAAACTGTAAAATAAGTACAATAATAGCCTTAAAAAGCATAAGCAACAATATTTGCCAATATGTTAAGTTATAAAATTTAAGTGCATACTAAGCAATTCAAGCCACAAAAGAACCATCTCAACAATTTCAAAGTTGATCAGGACTAAACACTCTGCACATGTAGAGTGTTCAATGCAAAAAAGAACTACTGGGTATGCTAAGCAATCCACAAAACCCAAAAACACCATCTCAAACTACTTGTCCAGATAGTGAGGATTGCCTAGCCTATGAGACCATGCACTAACAATGTTTATACCTATTTCTGATACACATAGAGCTGTTATTCGAGTCGAGCCGAGCCCGAGTAGTAGTGGTTCCAGCTCGATTTGTACGAATTTCGAGCTGGCTCGAGCTCGCTCGATATTCGATAACATTGTCGAGTCGAATAACTAGCTCGAGTTCGAGCTCGTTAGCTCTATATTTAACTCGAGCTCGACTCATTTAACACAATCGAGTCGAGCTCGAGCTCGAAATATTTACCATAGCAGCCATCTGTTCACTGCAAGTCTGTAACCATTCAGAAGATGCAAATTTGGCATACATATTTGTTGCTGAGTGGGGATTATGGACTTAATCCAATTTAGCAAAAGAGAAAAGATCAAGCAGTCCCACCAAAAGAGAGCATATGTAATTTTCTATCAGTCCAACAGTCAAAAGAGCCATGTTTGACTTGGTATGAATGTCCAGCAACTTAGAAATGTGAAAATTACTCCTCTAAATTGATGAGAATTCACTTTGGCATTCATAGTACCTCAGCCATGGCTGCTGATGAGAATTCACAAGTAGTCAAGTACTCATATTTTGTTCACTTACAACAAACATCAAAGCAATAATCAAGTCTAAAAGACAGCAAACAATAAGAGCTACAGAGCAACAGCAGTAGCAATTTCTAAAATTTAGCCTTCATTTTGAGGAAGCTCAATTTCATGACACGTAAAATGTCTCGACAACATCCGATTGATCCTACAGAATAAAAATGTAAAAGTCATGATATTTTCTAAAAATAAGAGCTACTGAGCTAAAAAAAATGAAGTAGAATACCAAAGGACAACAGCAGCAATTTCTAAAATTTAGCATTCTTTCAATTTTGAGGAAGCTCAACTTCATGATACGTAGATTACTCGGCAACATCAGATTGATCCTACAAAATAAAAATGTCAAAGACTCAAAGTCATGATATTCTCTAAAAATAAGAGTTATAGAGATAAAAGATGAAGTAAAATAATCAATTAACCACATATTACTACTAGAAAGTGTAATACACTTACACGAGACTTGGTTTTTATTCCATGAAGATTGCGAATCCAATTACTACCGCAAAGTAGCATTTGCACTGTCTCAACAGACATAGAAGCTCGCCGATCATCAATTACTCTTCCCCCAGCACTGAAGGTAGATTCAGAAGCCACAGTTGTAACTGGAATAGAAAGTAAGTCACTAGCCATCCTTGACAATATTGGAAACCTCCATCTTTCTCCTTTCCACCACCCCAAGACATCCAGATTAGCAGATGCGTCACAAGCATACCTACCTTCTTCTAAATAAATATCTAAATCTGATTTTTCAAGTGGCGCCTTGTCAATTTCACTAACATGCATTTGAAATTTTTTCTTGCCAGTAAGAATTGGAAGTCCAAGTTTCTTAACATTCCCCTGAGATTGAGCCGAAGAACTACTCACTTCCTTATGTTTACGCTTTACCGACTGCCTCGGTGGTTCCCCGGCATGAGAGGAGAAGTGAGTATCAACATATTCATTGTAAAGCTCATAAAGAAGCTGTTTAATTTCATCAATTTTCACAGCAGCTTCTTCCTCACCATAAATAATTGGAAAAGCATGATAAATGAGTACCATTTTGTACCTTGGATCAACAATAGCACCTAACGAAAGCACCACATTGGTTTCTCCCCAATATTTGTCAAATTTTGCTGACATGCTCAAAGCCATGGCCCTAATTTGATCAGAAATATCAAGAGCTTTTTCATTTAAAAGATCTTTAATCCTATAAAGCTCCACAAGAAAGATGTTAGAAGTTGGATAGTCGGATCCAGAAATCATGTTAGTGATCTCATGAAAAATACCCAAAAATCGGCACACTTCTACTACTTGCAACCACTCGTAATCACTTGGAACATAGTGAAACCCAGGGTCAATGTCCTCATATCTCGGGAAAACGTCCTTGAACTCCAAAGCCGAAGCCAACATGAGATATGTGATATTCCATCTAGTTGGACAATCTAGAATCAATTTCCTAGAGGGCAACTGTAGCTGTTTTGTAATTTTGGCAAATTGATTTAGGCGACCCTCAGAGTTGTTCAAGTACTTGATCCCCTCTCTAACAGTATCAATCACATCAACTAGTTGATTGAGGTCATCTTGCACTAAAAGATTAAGTATATGTGCACAACACCTCACATGAAAAAATTTTTCAGCAATACTTAACCTCTTTCTTAGAGAAAAATCCTCCCTAAGTCTCCTAACACAAGCATCATTATAAGAAGCATTGTCTACCGTGATGCTGAAAATTTTATTCTCGATCCCCCAATCAATAAAATATTTACTCAAAGCATCAGCAATAATTACTCCCGTATGAGGAGGTGGCACATTACAAAAATTCAACACACGTTTTTGTAACACCCAATCAGAATCAACAAAATGCCCTGTTACAACCATATATTGAATTTTTTGACCAAATTTCCATAAATCTGTAGTTATGCTAACTCAACTAGCACTCTTTAATACAGATTTCAGCTTTCTTTTTTCCAGTTGATAAGTAGAAATGCAATCCTCTTTGACAGTTTGCCGGGTAATTTTTTTATAAAATGGGGACACAGCTTTCATAAATTTATTGAATACAACATGATCCATCATAGAAAATGTGTATTCATGTGCAAGCACTATATGAGAAGCAAGCTCTCGTACCTTGGCATGGTCATATGAAAAATTTGTGATCGAAGTAATTCCATCGGATGGCCCTTCGGTAAAAGACAACACTTGCTGTTTCATCCTATTTTGCTCTCCCATTGCCATCTTCTTTTGTAAACATGCTTTTAGATGACGCTTGTGTTGAGATGTAGCTCCAGTTGTACTATTGGCAAATAACTCCTTACAATGATTGCATTGCACCTTTTCTATTCCATTGTCTAACTTCACAATTTTCATATCGTCCCACACCGTTGATTTCTTTTTCCTTTGCTTTTTCTCAAAGGGCATTGTTGGTTCTTCATTTTCGCCATCACCTTTTTGCTCTCCTACTCCTCCTCCTTCATTGTCATGTTCTTCTATTATTTCTAACTCATCTTCAGTCATCTCATCCGGATTTTCTTCAATATCCAGTTCTTGATCTACTACTTCATTTAATTGCTCCATAGCAGGACTTGAAGATGAACCTTGGTGGGAATTAAGAGGGCTGTACATACCTATATATTAAGAAAAAAATTTAAGACATAATTATAAATCAAAGGTTGCATGTCAAATTTCATTATAAATAAAAAAATTCCAATAATTTCAATTATCTATTACAATATGAAAAAATAATTACTGCTCATATTGAAGGCCAAATCCACTTGACACCAAGCAATCTACATAAACTGATTAAGCAATCAATTCATCTAGTTGGTCATGTGGTAGAAATAAGAGTTTATGAAAAATTGGATAAACTGATTAACAAAGAAACTAATGTACTGTAATGGACAAAATTTTTTAAAAGATTCAACCAGTCAAACATAAACTAGTCAACATCCAATATCTATAGGCTGCATATTTTTTTTCGTGTCATTTTCAAAGTTTCTTTTTGGTTTCTTTAGCAGCCCCTCCATGGAAAGGTTTTGTCAAATCTTCAAAATACTACCTGTCTCCACAATCTAAAAAGTCCGCGCAGAAGCCCATTGCATCATTTGTCAGCTTCCACACGAATATAGAGAGTATCAAACAAAACCCACATCCCAATAACCCCTCAAAAGCACAATATTTTAGCAAAATACCAAAATCCCTAAATCCTAATTACCAAATGGAAGAAGATAATGCACCTTAATTTTTTTTTTGGATCTCAGCTCTATATGTACGTAACTCCAAAATCAGAAATCAAGTACAGAAAAATACACAGGTTCACCAGGTGGCGGCTGGTGTTTGCGCAACCAAGGCGGTGGGCTGG